TAAAGATTTGCATCGAAGCGTTTTTTTTTGATAGTGATTTTAATCACTGTCAGATATCATTATACTTGATCCATCTATACCACGTCACCACTTTGCCGCGACCCCCCTGTGCTGGGTTTTTTTTGCTTTGCCATAACTGAACACAATTTTTTTTCTTTTCAAAAATAAAATTTAAGCATTTATAGAATAAAACCTTCATTATTATCGTCTAATAGGGATTTTTTTTTGGGCTTAATAATTTTATTTTATTTTTCAGATTGAATTTAAACCAGTTGTTGCTGTACATCTTCGAATTTTAAAATTTCTTTCTCTAATTCTCTCATACATTACTTTGTTCGTGTTTTTTTTTTAAATAGGAATAACAACAATGTCATAATAAAAAAACCTTATCTAAAAATAGAATTTTGTATCATTATTTTCATTTTTCTTATCTCAATTCTATATTCAATAAAATATTTTAATACAAAAAATATTTACAAGATTATTACGAAGTTTTATTGGTCTAATATCAAATAATATATATTTTATAACAAAGTGACTAAAGTTAAAGTTTTATTTTTTAAACATTTTTTTTCGATTATTGCGATATTTTAATAATAATCGATATCGTGGAAAAAATAAAAAAAATTGGCGATATCAATATATTGAATCAAAATATCAATATCGTAGACAAACTCTACTGTTAACAATATAAAATAATTAAATAATACTCATACATGCTTGGAGGATAAATGTTACTCCTAAAACTGCCAATTTCATTGCCTGGAGGAAAATAATTAGAAACAACAAATATTTTACCGGAAGAGCTTTTAGCCATGCCAGTTCCTAGATCAATGCTCTCTTTCCAAATAAGCTGAGTTAAATGATCTACAAAAAATTAAAAATATTGGCTGAAGTTGGGCACTTTCATATTGAGTAATTTTATTTGTAGCATTTAAATTTATTATTCGTGATCCATGTCTAGAAGGACAAAAATTAAAAAACAAGACTAGTGTAAATGTGTATTTATGTTGCATTCTTATCTATATTTCATCATACCAGACACACTTATATTTTTTTTACTGGGTCAATCCATACCAAATCATCCAGATGTGGTTGCACGACCACTTCCGAAAATCTCGAAATTTTCAGGACTAATTCTTTAATCTATAATTAAATGAAATAAAAGAAAAAAAAATTTTTTTTTAATGATGCTCTATACTTTTATGGCTTTNAAAAAAAAAATTTTTTTTAATGATGCTCTATACTTTTATGGCTTTCATATAGGAAGAAAGTAAAATAATCGCCTTTATTTCGAATTAAAATTGCTCATCCAATTTTAATTATATCAATCTAAATTTTATGGTAAAGTCTATTTATAATTCAAAGTTTATGATGAATAAAAAAAATTGACTTTTATTGGTTTATAAAATTTTAATGAATATTTAAAAAACGACAATTTTTTGTTAAAAATCGACGATTTCAAGCCAAACACAAGCCATCATAAAATTTTTTTTTATTTTTTTTTTTTCACGTTTTATTGTAATAGTACATATTTAATACCTCTGTCAAGTTTAAAAACTTAAAATTAATTTTTCAATGTTTTATAAGGTTTTTAATTTTAAACAATTTGCAATAATAACCAAGTTTAGGTTTCATTATCTCTGACGGGTAACCTTAAATTAACTTTTTCAAAATCAAAATACATATAAATGTACCTGTAGAAACTATGGTAAAAATTTAAAAGTTTAGAAAAAAGTATGTCATCACCAAAATACAGTTTAAAAATCAGGAAAACACGTTTTTTAATCAATTTAATTTAATACATTTTTTGCTATTTTATTGTACAAACTCAATAGTAAAATTGATTAACTTTTGTAAAAACAATAAATTATAACTAACTATAGTATCATAATATTAAATACAATTATCAGTACTAAAGATAGTACCTTACTACAGTTATTACCTGTAAGTTAAAAATAATCATCATAAACACCTTAACCGATGATAAAATATATTAACTGCTATCGGCATGATTGTTTTTAAATGCATATTTTTGTTTCAATGTATCATGATGTTATATATTTAACTTTATCTTACTTGTATAACGATTACAAGTACACGAGTATATATCTTGTAACGTGATAAAATGTGAATTTTATGATATAGATAGATTACTGTTTTGCTTTGCTAATGGGCGCGCGTACGTTATATCCGGCCGTGTAATCAGAAAACTGTACTGTTGCTGTCAAGGTGAACGCTATACACACAATATTCTTTATCAGTTTAACAATCCGTTCCCTATATGACACATACACTGGCCACCACTGTTCATACCTGTATAACTCTAATATTGTTCATATTTTTATCTGTTGTATATTTTGTAAATCGTTAAGCCGATACCCTCTCCCAAACGGGTTCGTCGTCGTTGTGTCTCGCCCGGTGTGTAGGAATTTTTTTTTGGTAGTCTCTTCCCTTTGAACCACCGTCGTGGTCTGTTTTGCTGTGTGCGTGCAGCCAATTATAGTTTCTTTTTTTTTTTGTGAGTGTCGTTCATCTTAATAATGCACTAATTTAACAAGGCGTCGGCCATTCCCGGGGCCGAGATCCCCATCTTAGGATGAGTCCCATCCGGGACTGGGTATCGTATTGTTGTTTTTTCTTTTATTTATTTAATATAATGTATTGAGCCTCTTTTTCTTTTATAAATTTATTTTTTATGAGCTATAAATAATTTTAGCATTGCTGGTTATAAGGTTATTGGTCAGTGGTGTGTCATGTATATTTAACACATATATATATATATATTATTCCCGCAGTGCCCAAGTACGGTCCGGCCGGCCAGATTACAGAAATTATCCGCCGCGCCCGGAGTACACGGACTTGTTCCGATGCGGAAGACGCTTCACGTGTAATATTTAAAAGTTGTAGGTTAATTTTTTTTGTCTTAATAATTGTTTTTTTTTTTTTCTCTTTTGTCCCTTTATTTGCAGAGTGGTTTTTGCCTTCGGGTTTTGTCCACTATTAACTTAATTGTAATAATTTAATAAAGTCCCCTTAATTTTCTTAATCAACAAAAATCTTTTTATTGCGTGAATATCTTCAATATTCACGTGTATCTTATTTTTTTTTTCCTTTCAATCATTTTCTCTAGTTTTAAGGTAACGGTCTTCGACATACTAAAGTATGTCCACCACTGGTGACATCAAATAAACCTATTTGTTATAGTTACAAGGTATCTGCGTATTATAGTCTACAACAACACTTTATATTTTAGTATATAAATATATATATATATATAATTTTTTAATTCACTTTATTTCATCAAAGTGAATATTATTGGTTTTCTTATTATTTTTTTTTAAATTTTTTTCTATTAAATCCACTTATGGTCCGGGTGTTGTTCTTTTCTGATCAAGACCCTCGCCTAAGTGGTTGGCGACCTGATTTCCTTTTGCAAGGGAGCCATGAGGGTGGCGACTCCACAATCCGTTGCATGGCCCAAGTCGTCACCTCTCAATCTATAAGTAATGAACACCACTACAATCTGTATACTATGTTATTGATAAATGAATTTTAAAAGTTCAATGTGTGTTGTAATTTATTTCAGTGTGTTGTGTTCATTGAAAATTCATCATTTAGTTGTTTTATTTTTTAATTTAAGTTATTTAAATAAAATTAAAAATGAATTGTTCCATTGGTCATTACGTGAGTGAAGAATGCCATAAATCCACCTATGGGTTAGTTTCTAATGTTTTGATAAATCCAAATGATTTGAACGGTAAAGAAAAATAATTACTAAATTTAAGAATAAAAACAGAAATTAATTCTATTTGTGAGTACCATAAAATAAAATATTTATAGAAGTATAATTTTTTATTTGGTAAAACATGTTGCGATCCTTTTAAATCCCACAAAAATATCATAAAAAAAGGTTTGAGTGAAATTAATATTGAACTAATAGATAAAGTAAAAAACTTTGATATTGAATTAACTCCAGGAAAATCATTGTGCCTTACTTGTTTTAAAAATGTAAATAATGTATGTAAAGATTTTCGTTTAATGGAGGATACTTATGAATGTAATAGTACTGATGACACTGTCGACTGTAAAGAATCCCAAATGGAAAGGGTTGACACGATTTTTAAAGCTTTTGATTTGTCTCCTGTTTCAAAAATTAAAAGGCTTAACCCCCAATAAAGGTATTTAGCTGTACAAAAAAAAGTTGAGCATGTTTCATTAGGTTTGAAACGTGATCTAGAAAATTGTATTCCTGGATGTTCTTGTGAAAATAAAACATCAGAATATGAAATGCTAATTGAAAAATTAAAAGTAAAGTTTATTTCGTCTACTTCTGACCAAAAAATTAAGATTTTAAGCTTATTACCTACATCTTGGTCGAGAGAAAAAATATCTAAAGAATTTAATACGTCAGAATATTTGGTTAGATTATCTAGAGATTTAGTTAGCAAGTATGGAATACTTCCTGACAATCCTAAAAAATTAGGTCGTACTTTAAGCAATGGAGTTGCTGAACTTGTAGTACAGTTTTATGAAGACGATGAATACAGTCGAATGTGTCCCGATAAAAAAGATTATGTGTCAATAAAAATAAATGATGTTAAAGATCTTAAGCAAAAACGACTACTTTTAAATAATCTCAATGAATTATTTGTAGAGTTTAAAAATAAATATCCCGATATTAAAATAGGGCGATCTAAATTTTGCGAATTAAAACCAAAGTGGTGCATATTGGCAGGGTCATCAGGTACTCATACTGTTTGTGTATGTGTGTATCACCAAAATGTAAAGCTGATGATTGAAGGTGCTTCATTAAAATATAATTTTAAATACTTTTTAAAATGTATAGTGTGTGATATAAATAATTATTTATGTATGATGGGTGAATGTACTCAATGTCCTGATAGCTATGACACTTTAAAAGAATTATTACAAAACGAGCTTGAATATAGTTCTGAAAATATTACTTTCAAGCAATGGGTGAATACTGATCGAGCAGATTTAGTGACGAATATTCAATCTGTTGATGAATTTATTGAAACGATAATTGATAAGATTATTAAACTTAAAAAACACTATTATATATCTAAGGTTCAGTCCAACTTTTTAAAGCAAAAAAAATATGAACTAAAATTAAATGAATGCATAGTATAGCAGATTTTTCTGAAAATTACAACTTTGTTATACAAGATGAAATTCAAGATGAAGATACCACTGGATTCATAAACAAGCTACATTACATCCACTTGTATATTATTACAAAGAGGACAATTTATTAAAATCGCGTTGCATGTGTGTAATTCATATGTAATCATATGGAACATAATACTATTGCGGTTTATACATTCCAAAATCATCTAATTAAAGACATTAAGATAATTGCGCCACATGTAAAAAAAATATTGTATTTTAGTGATAGTGCAGTAAGTCAATATAAAAATAAAAAAAATTTCATTAATTTATGTTTTCATTATTCTGACTTTGGTATTGAAACTGAGTGGAATTTTTTTGCTTCTTCTCATGGTAAAAATGCGAGTGATGGAATTGGAGGAACTACTAAGCGAGTAGTAACGAAGTATAGTTTACAACGAATTCGTTCAAATCACATACTTACACTATTAGACATGTTCAAATTCTGTGTGGAAATATTAAAGTCATAAAATATATTTATGTTTCATCATTAGAAGTACAAAAGAACGCAAAAAAACTAAGTTCTAGATTTCTCATGGCTAAAACTATTCCTGGGACTAGAGAAAACATAAATTTGTACCGTGCACTCAAAATACTTTACGAAGTTGGATATAATAATAAATTTAAATTGTATGCACTAATGTGCAAGTAAAACATTAAATATGTAATATTTTATA